GAGAGAGAGAGAGAGAGAGAGAGAGAGAGAGAGAGAGAGAGAGAGAGAGAGAGAGGAAGACAGTGAGGGGGAGAAGAGAGTCACCTACCTTTGACGAGGATGCTGAAACGGTTTCACCCAGTTTACCCGACAGATACAGACATTAGGACTCGATCCCTAGACCTATCCCGTGACCCTGTACATTGACCCTGTGACGCTCTGTGAGATTTGAACACATGACCTATCCCTAAATCCCCTAGGTTAGTCTGTGTGTTAGTCAGTCGTTATGTCTTGATCCGTAGACCTTCGTATTAGGAGTTTAGTACGTTACCGTTAGTCTTAGTCAGGGTCCTTCTGGAAGTGCAAGGGTCAGTAAGTAGCTAGTGCAAGGGTTAGTCTGTAGGTTCTCGAGAGTCGCAGGCCCAGTCCACCGCGTCTGAGTCAGCAACGTGACCAGTAAACCCCGTCCAATCAGCAAGTACCAGGGCAGTCTCACGTGGTTTGGGGCCACAGGTCCACGTGGTTTGGGCCCTGTTGGGCCACGCGTTTTGGCCCATCCCCAGGCCCACACGTTTTGGCCCGGCGCTAGGGCAGACCAGACCACTGCGACACAATATAAATAAAGAGGCAGCGTATAGCCATTCATTCATTCGCCTGTGAGCCATGCGGAAGCGCTGCTGGAGTGACTTGTGCAGGAGGAGGTCTGCAGGTGCCCGAAGCTGAAGCGGGCTGAGGAGGACGAAGGCAGCCATAGCTGAGAGGAGGAAGACGAAGGCGGCCATAGCCACCAAACTGTTGACGCCAACAGAGTGTACAATGAGTGTGTGCGAGGTGTGGACATTCAGGGTGGATCTTCGTGAGTGTGTACGTGAGTGAGAGTGAGGCTGATGGTGTAGACAGTAATTGGTCGGGACTTCACACAATGTTCAGCGGCCATAGCCGCAAGTTGTAACAGTTGACTTGAGCTGAGTTTCTGGCCAGAGGCCATATCTCTGAGTTTTCTGTGTGGGTGCATGTCGCCAGTGCAAGTTCATTGCTGATTCCGAGTTGACGAAGTTGGTTTCCGATCGGCACATACATGTATGCATGTTGTAAGCGAGATTGAGACGACTCTGATTTCACTGGTATCGGAGCTGGTACCCGTTGTCCACGCCATAGCCGGAGAGCGGCAGAGAGAGAGAGAGAAGGAGAGAGAAGGAGCACTTACCCGCGAAGAAGAAGACAGACAGCTGGACGATGGAGAAACAGACGAGGCAGAGAGAGAGAGAGGTGACAAAGGTGAGGGAGGCCATAGCCAGCAAGAGGAAGGAGAAGTCGGCCATAGCCAAACTTGAGGGCGAAGGAGAAGAAGGGTGAGTTGACGAAAGTGAAAAAGGGAGGAGCCGCCATAGCCAAGTTTGGATGGAGCTGGAAGACGTCGACCGGGGGTTGACCGGCAAAGTTTGACCAGGTGTTGACCAGCATTGACCGGCGAGCGCTGACCTGTTCTGTCGACCAAGCTGGAGTACGGAGCAAGGAGCGGTATACTCTCTTCAAGCCCTGGCCCTATCCCTATACCTTGTGGATGTGCACTCACCTTGGTACTTGCTGAGAATCAGTCAGTCTGTCATCTCTTTCTGCATTGAGTCACTCTGTCCAGGTCGATAGGATTTTGTGCATGTGGTCAAATAGGGGCTATGAGCCAGTGTCTGCAAGGGACTTAGTAGGGGTTGAGGTGTGCCTGAAGCTAGATGACCTGGGGAAACACCCCAAGGACCGGTACAGACCGGCAGGTTGCTTTGGGTGGCACACTATACCTGAACTCCGAGCTGCAGAGCGGGTATCCAGTCTGTCTACGTCTTGAGAGGACTTTGGATGTGATCGTCGTCCTGTTTTCGACATTAAAGAATTCTTGAGGAGTTATGGGGGATCTCCTTAAATGCCTCCTGATCAGCCAGAAAGTCTTGTAGTGACAGACTAGAGTAGTTGAGGCTAGAGACGAATAGTTGACAGAGCGTGTCAATCTGAAGTGAAAGCTAGGTGAGTTTCGGTAACAGTGGTTGTGGGCACTTCCGTCGGTTGTGGCAAGTTTCGGTGACAGTGGTTGCGAAAGCGTCCGTCGGCTGTGGAAAGTTTCGGTGACAGAGGTTGTGCTCACATCCGTCGGCTGTGGAAAGTTCCGGTGACAGTGGTTGCGAAGGCATCCGTTGGTGTCTAAGTGTCTAGGAGTGGAATTGTCAGTGATTGTGCCTTGTCAACATGGTGACCACCCGGGCCGGAACGAACACTACCCCCTATGGTAAGGAACAGGAAGAGAGGGCCGCCACTATTCTTCGTGAGAAGAAGGAGAGGATGGAGAAGAGAGAGTTGATTAAACAAGCAAAGAATTTAGCTCTGTTGGAAGAGGAGGCGGCCAAGAAGAGATAGGTGGAGTCGGAGAAGTGGAAGAAGGAAAACGAAGAGAAGCTGGCCGCAGTTGAGGCCGAAGTAGACGAAGAAGAACCAGTGGAGGCCGAAGAAGAAGAGGCCTCGGTGAGGGGAAGGGGGGAGGCGAGTTCCAATGGCCCTCCACCAGAGGTGGTGGAGAAGATGGTTAGAGAGTGGGTGGCCACATTATTGTTGGGGGAAGACCAAGAGGTAGAGCTTATGGTTCCCCAAGCAGAAAGAGAGGCATTTGCAAGAGAGTTGGAAGGAGAAAGGGATCCCTTGCGCCGACAAGCAAGGGAGCAAGAAAAGCAGTTGGAGTGGAAGTTGCGCCTGGCCCATGAACGGACTAGGCGCCTGGAGATGGCAGAGAGGTTGGAAAGGGACCTAAGGGCGGTCGAGACAAAGACGGGGAAGATCAGGGAAGAGATTGAAGTGGGAACGAAGATTGACACCCTGACCCAGAGCATAGATTCCCAACTGACCGCCCAAAGAGAACAACTTGAGCATATTCGCAGCCACGATATCACACTAGAATCCATACGACCTGGGCTCAGAGAATTCACACGAGATATGATGACACATATAGCGGGAGAAATCGACAGCGCAATAAGAAAACCGGAAAGTTATGTATGGGTGCCATAGAGGGTGCTAAGTTAGCGGCTCCCAAGGAAGAGGAGCCCAGACCCCGCCGTGAAAGGGTCAAAGTCCGATTCCGTGAACCATTCCGTGGGAAAAAGGGGGAAGATTTCGATAGTTGGGAGGCCAACGTCAATTCTTACATGTACCTACAGGACGTGGCCCCTGAAGACCATGTCTTGATAGTCTTTCAGGCCCTGAGAGACGAAGCAACCAGTTTTGCTAGGTCACTCGCACACGCCACACATTGCGAGAACGACATGGTTCAGTACTCTAGAGTCACTCACCTCTCTGACTTTTTGAAAGCACTGAGAGAACGCTTTCCCGACGCCACTAATGGAATCAAGGCGTCCGATAAACTCCAGATGATCCATACGCGGCAGTCGAGGAGTGTCCATGCTCTCAAATCCGCTATGGACGAACTCATCGTTGTGCCCGGACACGGGTTGACTGACACACAGCTCATCCAACTCTTCTACCGTGCGTTGCCCGAGCATGTGCAAAGGACATTTCTTCGCCAAGAAGCAGCAGCCGGGAATCATCTGCGATGTCCTTAGTAGAGAGGCTGTTGCGTTCGCTGCCCAAGCTGCACTAGTTACCACTTTCTAGCACAAAGATCTGACAAAAGGCAAAAAGTATAAGGGTCGCACCATCTCGGGCCAGGTCAAGGCCAAAGATAGTTTGATACTCATGATGGAGGAAGTGCCCAACTTTGACGTAGAATGGGGACTCGAAGAGGAAGAGGGAGACGGTAGGATAGATCGAGGGAGTACCTACGTTGCTGTTGCGGCTGGAGGGAGGCCG